ACCAAATTCAGGCGACTTGGTTCTTAACCTTACCCATTACCATTTTGGATAAAAGTTACTTACTAAAAATAACCACTATTACACTAAAAAAAATTACAAAATATCTAGGAGATTGTTTCTTGCGTGTTGACTTGTGCCGATCTGTCATTCAAAATCGGTTAGAGAGTCATGAGATTTGGTATCCTTTTCTATCTTGCATTTTTGCCATACGGAATTTTCTTTTCCTTTCACACTATGTCAGTCTATACGCCAGTATATTCTAAGTCTATGGTTTAGATTTAGAGTATACTACAAATTATAATACTATCAGTGGGATTAAAAATGGCGCCGCCTGTATTCACCTCTGGCTCGCACAGTCGCTATCTGTACCCACAACCGCCGGTGAAGACTACAAAACATACGTTGCGGTATGCGTTTTTTGGTACGCTCATTTAGTATAAAGTAGAAGAAGGACCATCTCTGTATATGAAAAGCACTGTGATTCTAAGTAGGTCTTGACGTCATCATAGTGGGCGTGGCTTTAGTTAGTATACTATCAGCATTCGTACTGTGCGCTTATGTGTTGAAAATCGCATTTCGGTGTATTTTCGTTGTATTAAGCAGAAAAGGATGAAGTGGTGTGTTTTATTGTGTAAAAACTACTCAGATAGACGCTCTGATGCTATGGATGGCATCACATTTCATTTGTAAGTAATTTTACACCTAATTTATTAAAATAGTTCTAGAAAAATCTCTTTGCGTTGGCTTTTAAATATAATTAAATATATTCGACACTAGATGGCGAAACTTTGTGTCACGGAAACTAAAAATATAAAGGTACATAGAGCTCAGTATTGGTAAAATAATCTGAAATTTGTTTTCCATTCAGACATAAAGAAATTTTAATCGCCGAAATATTATTTTTAAAGTTTATAATCATTTTGTGAACAGGGCGCCGTCTATCGTCAAGGTAGCTAAACTACATTGCAACATCGATATGGAACAATTCGCGTAGTTTTACTATTTGTCAGTAAATGAAGATAGTGCAAAGTGGGCGGGGTTTGACATCCCCTCACCCCGCAAATTGTCACGCGTTGATACATATTGAAATCTAATTACAACACCTCCTCTTTGTATCTGCTTCATGATGAAAAGTGTCCGTAAAAATGCGTCTAATAAGGGTGGCGCTGCAGTAGCATAGGATAAATTAAAAAAGCGCCAAAAGTAATTAGAATAAGATGGAGAAATTAACAAGGACAAACAATCAAGTTAACAAACGTTTAAACTAATTTTTTTTTCAAAGTCAGAAATTGTAATTCAGAAAATTTAAGAGAATTACAAGTAAAACTTGAAATTATAAGAAATAATAAAAAGTAAGAAATAAGAAGAAAATAAGAAGTCTTATGGGATAAATAAGGTGTAAATGTAAAATAAATCAGCAAGCGGGTTATTCAACGATTTATATTATTAAGTTATATAAATAAACGATTACATTTTCAACAATAGTGTTATGGGAGTCGCAGGAAGAGTAATAACACACTTGAATACTTGTTTTTTGCTTTACTAGTGTTCAAAACACGAATGGCATTCAATAATTATTGCAATCGTTTTTATGCCGCACAATGGTGGAACTTAGCACAACAGTTTGAATGTGTAAGAATTATACAATCCAAATACTTTTTTAATATGAAAATAAGTAAAACACTGTTATAAATATTACTGATGAGATAATTAATTAGAAATATTTAGAAGATGAAATTACTTAATATTCTTTGTAAATATCTCAAATTCTAAATTAGAAATAAACTGAGAAAATTATCTATGATAATTATTATGACAATACAATTACTTTAAATCTATTTTATATTTGAAAATTTAAATAATAATATAAAACAAAAATGATAAATTATACAATTATTACTTATAACGATTCATAATATAAATGATGTAACAATCATTGATAACAGTTGTTATATTTAAACATTTTTTATTAATAACGTAAAAGTAAAGTAAAGTTGCAGACTATTTACGTCCCACTGCTGGGCACAGGCTTCCTCTCATTTTTGAGAGGGTTTTAGGGCAAGGAAATGTCCGCCGCGATGCCCCACTGCGTGTTGGCGAACTTCACATGTCTACGAAATATTTTTTTTCTTATTTTTCAGTCATGCAGGTTTTCTCACGATGTTTTCCTTCACCGCCTAGCACGTGGTAAATCAACACTTAAAATTGCAATTAACAATTTCATTCCTGCCGGCGGGGATCGAACCCGGGTTGCTCGAGTACTGTGAAGCTTACAGCAAGCGCTAACCATCTGAGCTACCACGGCTCTTTTTCAGTGTAAATGTAAAAAAATTAACAAGCGGGTTAAACAGATATTCAACGAATCATCACCACAATATATTTATTAATAATTATTAAAAAAAAGTCACACTAATAAAATCACGTTTGCTCACAGCAGTTTTCAGGTTATATTAACTTATTTATTTTAATAGTTGAGGTTTTTTTTACTAACTACTCCAGACATGAAAAATATTTGAACTAACCTAACTTCACTCCGTCTACAACAGCTATATTCATATCGTAGTTTTTCAGACGCCAGCGCTATTGTGGTAGATTTTAGAACCTCTATTTTCAGTATATAGTTGGACACTTTTTTAACATACCCCCAATATGAGATGGTTCTCCTTCTACTCTATACTCCATGGGTACGCTCTATAACTTTGTAAAAAGGCTTTTAGAACTCTAGGTTTTACGTTACGAACGGTTAACGGTTTCACAAATGTGCAAGCTATTATAGCTTTGTACAACACACCAGTTCCGAGTCATTTGGAGTGTAATTCAATAAGTTGGGCTCTACATGAGAAAAAGTACGATCTAATGCTGGAGAAGGTACAAAATAAGGTATTTGTATCTCAAGTTATATGGGGTGTATCCTTTTTACCCACTGCAATACCCAACATTATTTGTTCTGGGTATGGTGGGATATAATCAGCTCAGGGTAAGGAGAGAACTTAGACTAGTTTTATATATTTTTATGGTCCTTAGGAGTAGGATTATTAATGAGAATATGTTGAAGAAGATTAATATTTATGTTCCGGATAGATATGTATGGCGGCGGCGTCAGCCAGACCTACTGGCCGTCCCTAGAAGTCGCACTAACTTACTGCGAGAGGCACCCCTGACGCGAGCTTTTCGAACATTAAGCCAGATTGACAGAGAATCAGATTTATTCTTTTGTACTCTGAACGAATTCAGAAAACTTGCTTTATGGATAATTAGTTATAAGATAATATAGTAATATAGGTAATATATGATTGTAAATAGTGTTTTATCTATCGCATTGGGTAGAAACCTGTAATGTTAGATATAAGTTGGATGTAAATAAATAAATAAATAAACATCAGTACAACTTGTCATTGGAATAAATGATAACAAATTTCCATAAACTACAAAGAAAATTCGGTCCGGTTGTGCTAATTTGTGAGCTACAACGTGTTCTGAGAGTTTTCTTCATAGTCATTGTTGACTTTGTTTGTCAATATTTTTGTATTAAAATATATATATGTGCCTAGACATAAGTATAAACATTTTTTAAATTTTTGTTTGTTTGAACTAATCTACGGAATAGTTGAACCAATTGTAACAACACTTCACAAACAAATAGAGAGTGATAGTCTAGCAGCACTGCTAGCGCTGAGATTAAACTTGGTGAACTCGAAGCTAGTTGGAGACTGCGTGAACCGTCTAAATGCCCTGGAAGGTAACAACGGGGGCGTTTTAAGATAGGTTCCGGGTCATGCGGGTATTGTAGGCAATGAAATTGCCGACAAACTCTCACGGGAGGGCTCAAAGAGTACACAATTTGAAATCGAGCCATTTTATGATATCTCAAAAAGCCTCGCTTGATTGACTCTGGAAACTCTTTACCACAATAAGTCACTTAAGATCTGGTCTGATACACTAGGCTTAAAACATTCTAAAATCTTAATCCGGGCTTTCGATCGTAAATTTGCTTCGGAAGCCCTGGGATTAGGTAAAAATAAATTGCGCAGTCTGGTAAGAGCCCTGACTGGGCACAGTTGTCTTAAAATGTACATGTCCATTCTGGGACGAAGCAACTTAAAGATGTGCCAGTTTTGCTCCCTAGAGCAGGAAACGCCTTTACACAACAAGACCCTTAATACGCAAACGTATCACTCATCTAGGAAACTATGTATTTTGCCCAGAAGAAGTGAAATTGCTCACAGCTAAGAAACTCCTTTTATTCATTGAGGACGTAGGGCTTAGCAGTGAACTATAGACAACGATCACAATAGATCTAAGTCGCAGTGATACTTGTCTCTCTAGACCTGCATAGCTGCTCGTACGTTTAAATAAAAAAAATGTGCCCTAACTGCCCTTAGTCTTATTACACTGCACGGTGGTAAGCGCACAGGGTCCACATTAACGCCCTAATTAGGGACCCTTTCTGCCTTACTCTTATTACACCTCTCTTATTAAGGGCTTAGGGACCCTGATTCAGTGTATTGTAATAGGGGGTATTATGCACAAACTAATAAAAAGTGCTAGCGCAATCTTATGTATATGTTGAGGAGATTTTGGCGGGAACTTGACCAGCGGCGGATTGTTGCTTCTATATTATTATTTTAATAGTTTTGAAGTGGATTTTCATATGTAAAAGTATTGCGACTTCGTGTATTAAATGTCTGTGCATGTGAACTATCAGTGGAAACGGAGAAGCAATTGCTCCGATCATGATGTGAATCTCAAGATAAGGTATCTGTCTGCTTAGGCACCTTGAGATACTATCAGCAACTGTCTGCTAGCTTAAGTTGCCGTCATAAGCTACCAAAAATTACGCAATGTGACGCATGAAGCAATGTACTATAAAGGATTATATCTCATGATACTGGGATAAATGACGATATGGCTTAAAAAACAAGCATCTAAGCCAAAATATATTATTTTAAAAAATCTGTCAGACTGTCATATGTCTGTTTAATGCTTTTGATTGATCAGTCAGATCAAAAACTTGTTACAAATTTTATTTTATTATTTATTATTTCAAGTGAGAAAATAATTTATAATGTTTTAAAATAATAAAGGAAGTGAGAAAATATAACTTGATATTGAAAAAACGTCGTAAACTCTAGCTATTGAATATTTCTGACACAGAAAATAAATGAGATTAGCAAATATTCCAAATGATGTACATAGTTTTGTCTAAAATAATGAACCTTTATAACTTGTGAAGCCTTGACGTTATCCTGTTTATTATTCATACAAAACTGCAATAAAGCGCTTTAAATGTTAACTTTATGTCACAACTATTATCAAGTATCTCCTAATACAAAGAACAATAAAGATGTTGTTCAACATTATAGTAAGAAGAAATTTGTATTTGGCCTTTTTATTTTATTGTTGGTAGCTGTTTTGTGGGTTGTGTCATCAGAACTGACAAAGGTAAATAATATTATAAATATCTAATATAAATAACAGATTTTACCAAAAAAGAAAATAATATATTGATCAATATTATTTTTGTTTACAGTATCTGTACAATGAAAAAAAACTAGAAAGACCCTTTCTTATAACTTATGTCCGCAGTTCATTATTATTAGTTTATTTAATAGTTTTGTGTTTCTCACCACCTACAAGGGATCCTTGTCGACCTGCAGATTATACGGTAACAAATTCACTATCTTAGATACTCATTAAGTTAACGTACTTCAACAATAAACCACAAATAATTTATTTTTCAGCAATTATTAGAACCTACAGCTGAAACAGATGATGAAAATTATTATCATGAATCTACAAGCAGTTTGGTGAGTTATCATAATTATTTAAGTTATTGACTAATCATAAATAGTTCATAACAGAAATAATAAAATAAAATCAGTTTCAGTACTGTGAATTTTTCTTTGAAAGTGAAGGTTTCTTGCTAAGAATTTCAACTTGTTTTCTTCTTTAAAATAATTTGATTTACATGGTATTGTAACAGTGAAAAAATCTCAGATATAAAGCACAATACTCAACCAATTGATGTGATCTATGTAAGTAGATTTTTTTGCAACTAGCATAATATAATAATATTAATATATAATATTTATTATGAATACTTATGCATTTGATATATTAATTTTAGTAATGAGTAATAACAAATGACATGAGCAATGACAAAACTAGGCACAAGAGAGAACGGTGAGCTGAAAGTAGGGAAATTTGGAATAGAGCAACGGAACCCAAGGGGCCAGCAGTTGGCTGACTTCATGGAGAAAGAGGGACTCTTTATGATGAACTCTTTCTTCCAGAAGCGGCCCCACAGGAAGTGGACCTGGTCGAGCCCCGACGGTTCGACAAAAAATGAGATTGACTTCATTATGACGACCAGACGACAACTGTTCAGTGATGTCTCAGTGATCGCGAGGGTGAAAACCGGCAGCGATCACCGAATGGTTAGAGGCACACTGAACCTAAACGTTAAGTTGGAGAGGTCTCGTCTAATGAAGTCAACGCTCCGTCCCCCTCGTGCTCTAATCCAAAGTCCCGAAACCTTTCAGCTCGAGTTACAAAACCGTTTTCAGTGCCTAGAAGACTGCAATGAAGTGGACGATTTGAATGACAAGCTCGTGGAAACTGTCCATTCGGTCGGAGCTAAGTTCTGCAAGACCCGCCGCAGAAGAACACAAAAACTCTCCGATCACACTCTAAATCTCATGGCTGTTAGACGGGAGATGAAGCTACATTCTTCAACAGACTTGACAGCATACAGGCAACTGAACAGACAGATCTCCAAATGCATGCGGCGGGACTTACGCAACTTCAATACAGCTCGTATTGAAGAAGCGATCGAGCGAAACCAAGGCTCCAAAGTCTTTGCCAGAGATCTGTCTGCCAGAAAGCGCCAACTGTCAAAGTTGAAGACAGAATGTGGCAGCATCGTTTCCGGGGCACCTGAGATTTTGAGTGAGATTGAGAGGTTCTATGGGCAGCTGTACACATCATCGTTGGAGCCGCACGCAAGTGTGAGTAACGATCCAAGAGCGAGTCTTATCCGACATTATTCCGATGATATCCCGGACGTCAGTCTGAGCGAGATTAGAATGGCTCTCCAGCACCTTAAAAACGGCAAGGCCCCAGGCGAGGATGGAATTACAGCGGAGCTTCTGAAAGCGGGTGGAAAACCGGTACTTGAAGTCCTTCAGAAGCTCTTTAATTCCGTCCTCCATGGTGGCATTACACCGGAGGCGTGGAGCAGAAGTGCGGTGGTCTTGTTCTTCAAGAAAGGCGACAACGCTTTCTTGAAGAACTACAGACCGATTTCCCTTCTGAGCCGCGTCTACGTGCTGTTTTCGAGAGTCATTACGAATCGTCTCGCGCGCAGACTTGACGACTTCCAGCCTCCCGAACAAGCCGGTTTCCGAAAAGGCTTTAGCACCATAGACCACATACATACCCTTCGGCAAATTGTACAGAAGTCCGAGGAGTACAATTTGCCACTATGTCTGGCGTATGTGGACTATGAGAAAGCCTTTGATTCCGTCGAAATTTGGGCGGTGCTGCAGTCCCTTCAGCGATGCCAAGTTGACTGTCGGTATATCGAAGTGTTGAAGTGCTTGTACAGTAGGGCTACGATGGCTATCCGAGTACAGAACCAGAGTACGAAACCTATCCAATTGCAGAGAGGTGTAAGACAGGGTGACGTCATATCCCCGAAACTCTTTACCGCTGCATTGGAAGATGTTTTCAAGCTTCTGGACTGGAAAGGATACGGTATCAACATCAATGGCGAGTACATCACTCACCTTCGATTTGCCGACGATATAGTCCTTATGGCAGAATCGCTGGAGGACCTAAGCACTATGCTCAATGACCTCAATAGTGTTTCCCAACGGATAGGTCTTAAGATGAACATGGACAAAACAAAGATCATGTTTAATGTCCATGTCACACCTATGCCGGTAGTTGTTGGGAACACTAAGCTCGAAGTTGTTGGGAACACTAAGCTCGAAGTTGTTGACGAGTATGTTTACCTGGGACAAATAGTCCGACTAGGTAAGTCCAACTTCGACCGAGAGGTCAATCGACGGATTCAACTCGGTTGGGCAGCGTTCGGGAAATTACGGCACATCTTCTCGTCAGGTATACCTCAAAACTTGAAAACGAGACTGTACACCCAGTGCGTGTTGCCAGTGATGACATACGGAACTGAGACGTGGTCCTTCACTGCTGGCCGGATGAGGAAGCTCAAGGTCGCTCAGCGAGCTATGGAGAGGGCTATGCTTGGAGTTTCTTAGGAATGAGGATATCCGCAGTAGAACCAGAATAACCGACATAGCCCAACGGATTAGTAAGCTGAAGTGGCAGTGGGCCGGCCATATAGCTCGAAGAACCGACAACCGATGGGGAAGAAAGGTTCTCGAGTGGCAGCCTCGTACCGGCAGGCGAAGTGTAGGGCGTCCCCCCACTAGATGGAGTGACGACCTGGTAAGATATGCAGGAAGTCGATGGATGCAGGTGGCTCAGGACCGTGCTTTGTGGCATTCTTTGGGGGAGGCCTATGTTCAGCAGTGGACTTGTGAAGGGCTGTAATGATGATGATGAATGAGTAATAATTTTAGTATTAGAATTAACTTGAATGAATGTAATATTACCCTATGATCCTTGCTGGTGGAAATAAATAAATAATATTGACCCAATTCATGATATTTTACACTAGTCAGTATAACACATTATAATATTACAGTTGGGTTATATGACTGTACAGTCTAAAATTGTGCTTTTAATGAATTCTGTATAACATTGATAATATTTCTTAATATATATTATGCTAAACCTGTCCTTGTCTATTCTGTACTACAATTTTTGATATAATGCTTTCTTTTTATGTAATGCAAATAACTTTTAAAAAGAAAGGAGACAAAGAGAGCCACACATTTATTCACTAGTACTATACATGAATACAAAAGACAGTTAAACATAGGGTGGTTTAACCTTATAAGGCCCAAAAAAATAGGATGCAACCAAATACCGCCCAATGTTCTCGGTGGAGAACTTAATAAACATAATGCTTCCCGCCCAGATCGAAACGAGTTCATTAGATAGATTTCCAGGAAAGATAGAACAAAACACTTTATGTGCCTCATATATAACACCCCTTTGAGCATATTTTTAGAACTTTAGACACGATTATTTTTGTTCTCATCGTCAATTCGTTGTTGCTTTTTACCTAAAGATATATTTGTGATAAGATGATGATATTGGTTTTAAGTGTAATAAATCAAAAATATAAAAAATTCAACTTTATACTTTTTTACTCGTTATTTAACATAATAAACTAAAAGCGTGCAAAAATTTTAACTTTCAAAAAAATAGAAACTAACAATAATCATTTAACAAATAAACTTTGAAACACAAATGAAACAAAAAATGTAATTAATCTTTAAATATTTTTTGCGCTTATATTATAATCAGTCTTAGATTAGGAACAAGCAAAGATAACAAGAGCTTAAAAAACTAAACCACATAAAAAACAATAAGTACAGTAATCTTCAATTAAATCAACGATTCCTATTCATGGAATTCTTTGTAGCAATTTCTGTATTTTGTAAAATATAAACTAATGTTGCATGTACTACATTTAGTGCGGGATTTATTATAATGACAATTGCGACACCTGGCTTGCTTATTTTCAAATAAAGGCATATATTTTGCTGCTTGTTGACGTCGTTTCATCGATGGTAATGGTAGTGTAGGCTTTCCTTTTTTACATTTTTTAGGGGCGTTCACTTCCTCTTCTGAACCTGCTGAAACCGTCTCCTTATTTGTGTACATTTCAATAATATTTTTGCCAAGATCCAGTTTGAAGAACCTCAGTTGTTGTATTTTTTTAACGGTACTCCTTTATTTATTTGGTCTCTTTTGAATTGGAGCCATGAATTCGATACAGCCAAGTCCATCATGTGGGAAAAAAATCTTTGAGTCCATTTCTTCGTGCGGTATCTGTTGGGACATACTGCCAAAATTCTGTCCGCAAGGTCTACACCTCCCATATATTTATTATAATTTCGCACCACGCTTGGTCTATTGACACTCACATATTGCCTTTGATTTATATATCTATATAAATCTGTAACGGGACATGTTATCCGCAATTATCGCCATTCTCCATTTACTTTCCCAGTACATTCTTATTACTTGATAGTTTACAGAAGCCATAACGAACGTAATCCTTTCATTTCATTCATGCTTCTTCCATGCAATTTTACTGAAGTTTGGTTTGTTCTTTCAACGAGTAACTGTATAAACTTATCATCTATATATTGTTCAAAATATGTAAGTTTTTCAAAAAAATCTGAGTTAAGTGGTAAATAAGTAGGCTGCGATAATTCCATTTCTTTCGGTGGGAATAGTTTTTCAGACCAACCAGGTAGTGAAGTTTTAGAGTCACTGGCAGAGGAAGTTATATTGCTGCTATGACCACGATTAGTTCGTCCACGAGTAAAGCCACGACGAGCATGTGATGGAGCTAGCTGTACTATTCTTTCTTCGTAGATTGTTTCTGACTCTGATCTTTCAGAATCACTCGAACTAGATAAATGATCTAACTCAAGTCTAAAAGGTGGGTCATGGTCATCCAAATCTTCATCGCTAGGTGTGAAGTCTTCAATCTCCGATTCGTTTCATAATTTAGAAACATCTTCATCATGCAAAATTATAATAAATAGAAATAAGTACTTTAAAAACAAAATACTTCAATTTTCTGAAATACGATTCCTTAACTGACTAACGCCCAATGACCTCACATAATACCAAATAAAAAATGACTGTAATTGTAACTACCGCCCAGTGTGATTGTTCAATCACATATTTTTTTTAAATCAAAATTTTTTTATGCACAGCAGTATATGGAAAAATAATACAATATTTATGAAAAACAAAATCTAAATTTCATGATTATAAATGATTTGTTGGAAAAATAAACGGATTTATTAAATAAATTAAGATAAAAACTCACCATACGACTCCATGTTGGTTCAATTCAGTTTAAAATGAAGAGCTATCTATGGTTGGTTGCCTACTTGCTCTTAATCCAAATGTTGCTAGCAAAAGGACCAATCAATGACGTCTAATAAGAAATACAAACCTGCGAATTTTTTAATCTAGGAACAAAAATATAATTTGTCCTCAGTGGATGACAGTGGGCGGTAATTTTGATGTCAACATTTTTCGTATTGGGCCGAAACGCATAAATTATTAAGTACTTCCCTGATCACACTGGGCCTTACGAGGTTAAACTACAACTTATGGGGTGGGTATCAAGCAGGGGTGTCACTTCCACTATGGAAGGTATGGAGCACTCCATACCTCAAGTTTTTCAAGGTATGGAATTCCATAGCTGAAATTAGGAAATAAATCGCATATTACTACAAACCCCATATAAATAAATCGCAAGCCCTTAAACCTCAATACCCCACATCTTATAGTTCAATAAATAAGTTGAGTATATACACTGCAAACTCTTAAACCTTAATACCCCACGAGTAATGCGAACAAATTTGAAAATCGCGCCACCATTTTCCATACCTCAGATTTTTACAAAGTGACACGCCTGGTATCAAGCCAGTGGAGAGGGTATGACTCAGCTTAATGCTGCAGAATGCTTCAGCTCTGATGGTTCTCCCATAACCATAGACGCACACAACCTGTCTGATTGTTTTTGTAATATATTTTATCTCGTGTAATATCTTCTCCACTTTTATTAATTAAAAAATTACAGTGCCTCAGTACTACAGCATAAATATATACAGGGTTATTTATCAAAGAGTAGCCAAATTTTAAACGTAGGTTAAAATATATAAATAATGATATAACATTATTGCAGTTTTTGAAAATACGGGTGAATAAGGCTTCTACTTTTGAAATGTGATTTATGGGCAACAACTTTCACAACGTTCAATTCACAACATTTTTGCTGAATGATCGACGCTTTCAAATGTGTACACGCATAATAAAATAGTAGACAATCAGTTAAAATAATGCATTACCACGTATTTTGAATTCAATAGAAAAAAACTAGCCAAGTGCATGTCTGGCCACACACAATGTAGAGGTAGGGTTCCGTAGTTGCTAGTCACAATACGTGGGCTTGTTTGATAATGAGCATAATAAGTGAGTTCGCGGTTTGACCACTATAACAACTAAAAATGGGCCCAAATAGGAAGATCGTAAATGAAGGACTTATTTTCGAATCAGCCTTATAGGGAGTGGATTTCAAAAACTATAAAAAACTTTTCGATTTTGATAGTAATACCCTATCTATCAAATGAAAAAGTAAAGCTAATAGTAGTAATGCATATAAGTCGTTTTCTTTAATGTTTATTTTTAACAGTTTATAATAACATTTCAAAGTTATTAATGCAGTTAGATTTATATAATTTTCTATGGAGTTGAAACAAAATTTTTACTAATCCAAGTGCATTTTATAAATTGTTCGACCATTACTTGTTAACTTCTTGATCCTACTTAGCTGTGATTTCATTACTTATATACTATAGGGGGGAGTGGGGAGGACACATGACTCTAATGAAAAATACAACTTTAAAGCTAATGAATTGAACAGATTATGTTCCACACCCCCAGTGTTTTTGAAAGACCTATATAACGATACCCCACATGATGGAATAGACGGGTAAAAAAAAATCATCCCACATTTACTTGTATGGGAAGTACCCAAAACAAAAATGTTATTTAAGATTTTATTTTACAGTTTTCTGGGTGTGATTAATATCTGCCAAATTACAGATTTGTAGCACCTAGGGTCTCTGAGAAAAACGGCGGACGGGCGAACGGACATGGCGAAACTATAAGTGTTCCTTGTTGTGTAACTACGGAACCCTAAAAAGGAAAGAATGTTTGAGATTTTTTAAAATAAATATTCACCATTTGCCTATATTACTTATTCTAAACCTTCTCTGCAAATTTGGCCGGTTATTGCAAAATAACCCTGTATACATAATAGACAAACACACACATACAGCTCATATTATACACATACATTCTATGTATAAAAATGTATAAAAAATATGTGTAACAATAAGTTAGCTGGTAAGATTTTTAACTACACAATAACAGTAAAAAATATACTACTCTACCATATCATTCAACATATCTGTGTGTATCAGCTCATGTTTGAGCCCCTTGAATGTATAATAAGTAATTTTTATAATAATTATGGTTTAAAATTAAACTTTGATGCAGAACAATTAGTGGAATTGACAAGGGGGTTTGTACAAAACCTAATCATAGAATGTCTTTTCTCAATTTAAGTTGTAAACCTTTAATCAAAATAACTTTGATAGACTGTTATCTCATTTGGAAATTGACTTGTTCTGTATTTTGAGTACACATTACCTGTAAAGGGTCCCATTCCCTATCACTCACCAAACAAAACTAAATTAACGTTATAACACTATTTCACACTGGTATTCTATGTAAGGTGGAAGCATGGTCCTTTAACAGTCAAGCTATGCATGCTGAGGCTATAACATGTTGCAATTTTTTAAAGAATAGGGATGACAAAAGAGCACACAGTGCACCTGATTGTAAGTGGATACTTTGGCCCATATACATCTACATTTATCGTTGATTGAGATTCAAACTCCAGATACATTGTCAGCCCTGAGGACTATGATGAGATGCCTCGTATCTGACAAATAGGGTCCCAAATTCTCTATACTTACTATATGAAACACAACTTTTATTTTATGGCTGGTATTTTCCTCTTTCGAGCCGATCCAATTGTGCTACAAACATAATATAGCTGCAGCATGGGTCTACCTTATACAAAATTCTGTACAAATTAAGTTGAACATAGGCCAACCTATATATTGACTCGTAAGGGAGATATTTGCAATAATTGCTACGCTTGGCCGACAATATTTATAGCCATTTTATTACTTTATTACCTTACTAAAATAAATATAATTCTAACTGGGGTATGTAGTCAATCGTAAATACTTAAATTCAATATTTTAATAAATATTTATTAAATAAGAGTTCTTTCAGTCACTGAAAATCAGCAATAACTTGTGCAGAATAGTGTTTTTTTTTTGCTGTAATTTATATGTTTACTTTTAGTCTAGAGAAGAGTAATTTATATTTTAAATAAGTAGGATTTTATACGTTAAATATTATTTTCGAAATTGTCAGTAACTTACACAAAATAAAAATACTATTTATAAAACATACAAATTAGAGAGTTACACTTCTGTAAATAATACCTTTTGTTCTACAGGGTGATTCCACTTTCGTTCCTGTTCGAGCTGGTGAAACTACGGACAGTGATGATGCAGCTCCTAGAGCTGTACGATTTAACAAAGTGGCTGAGGTGATTAAGATATAATTTCAATTGATAAACATTCAATTTATATACTTACATATGGAATACATGTAACATTGATACAAACATTAATACAGACTAAAGAAAGAGTGTAATCTATGATTTCCAAATTAATAGGATTTACTGTAATATCAGATGAGCTGCAGACCACAAATACAGGCGTGTTGTATCTTAGATGTTGCTTGTCGGTCTGGCGAGTAATTTCATGGAATTTCTACCATTTATAACGTAATAACAATTTTGACCTATCCTTTCGTTCACGACACAAATACGCTGAATGTATGTAGAGTAAGTAACTTTAATGGGTCACATTTGGCAAAAAATAAACTGATAACGGCGGCCTTACAATATTATTTATTTTTTCAGAATTAGCACGGCACAATTGGTTAACTTATTTCAGTTACTAAATATATATATTGATTTTTATAATGAAACAAGTCAATTGCACGATTTATTTGATCAATAAACCTTTTTAAACATAATAAACAATTTTTATTCTAAATAAGCTGTACGCCGTTAAAGTGTTACGTCGGTATACCCGTTTAACTAAAAATTTTACCCAAAAATCAAAGCATTTATTGTTCAAGTAGAGAAGATGAATACAATGACAATGCTATCGAGTTTGTCCGGTCGCAAATAAAAGGTCATGATGGATTACACAATCGCAACACCTCTTGTATTTATTTTGCTTTATGTGTTTCAAACTTTTTGCTGTTGTATACGTCGTGGCTAGATCTTAGAATTGATCAGTTCATTATGTGGCCGACCATTCCATGAAATGGCCAGCTAAAACTGATCGTATCGTTTAAACGTTAACGTTTGACGATATATCAATCCACATTTGGTCATATTATTAATCAAAGATTATGATATATTTTCATGATATCAAAGGGTTAACCAAAATTCCAAATAAAGAAGTAAGTTCTATATTTTTCTTGTAAGTTTTTTTTATATGAGAGGGGGCATACGAGCATACGACTCACCTAATGGTAAGTGACTACCGCCGTCCATGAACAACTGCAACATCAAGGGAATTGCAAGTGCGTTGCCGGCCTTTTAAAAAGGAGTAAGCTATTCCACAGAGAGGTATGCGGAAGAAAATTCCCAGTGAAACGTACAGTGGTGGACCGCCAAGCATCCAGATGGTGTGGATGATATTTTTTTGAATTTTTTTGATGAATTGAGCCGATCGGAAAGGACTCGGTCGTCAACGATTCGATCGGCTCTGCGCTGGATGCGGTCAAGTGGAGGAGCCGGCACTAGGGAGCCTCAGCCTAGAGATGGGAACAGTATTCCATGTGAGACCGAACCTGCGCCTTGTAAAGTTGCAGGCGGTGTGCCGGTATTAAATACTCTCCCCGCTTTGCTGAGCACGCCAAGCTTTATAGAGGCCAATTTGGCTTTCTATTCCAAGTGACCACGAAACTGCATGCCACTCGATATGTCGACGCCGAGGATTCCGATACTGGCTGATGCAACAAGTGGAGTACCTTGAAACTAAGGAGATACGATATAGGGGTTCTTTTTAGCGGTAAACGCGCAAACTTGTATCTTCTGAGGATTAAACTGGGCTAGATTTAGTCGCCCCCAATCCGAGACTTTGTTAAGCAAAGACTCGACTTCAGAAACAAGTTTGTTCCGATACTCGGCGACGTTTACTCGAGAAATATTGGCACGGCCGGTGTATAGAGCATCACCAGTGTTGTCGTCTGCATAGCAATGAATGTTACCGGTTTGCAACATATCATTTATATGCAGAAGAAACAGCGTTGGTCATAGCACGCACCCTTGTGAAACACCAGCGTCAATAGGCTTGTAGTCGGACCATGCACCGTCTACAACGACCTTGATGTTCCGATCTGCAAGAAAGCTGGTGATGTAATTGCACAATTTCTCGGGAAGCCCATAAGAAGGAGGCTTCGAAAGAAGCGCTTTATGCCAAACCCGATCGAAGACGTTCGCAATGTCCAAACTAACGGCCAATACCTCCCCCTTAGACTCTACTGCCTCCGCCCATCTATGAGTCAGGTAGACCAGAAGATCACCAGCTGATCGTCCCCGAAGAAAACCGTATTGGCGGTCTTTAATCAGCTGTTGATCCTCAAGGTACCGCATAAGCTGGCATTTTATAATGGAACAAGTACAAAAAATTGCTTGTCACCAAGAAAAACTAAATCATATATCTTTATTTGCAAGGTATAAGAAAATGTTAGAATTTATCCAGTGCAAGCGACGTGTTTCTCTAACAATAGTACTGTTTAAAATTATGATTAGCATGCTAATTGTAATTTTAAACAGTAAATTATTTTTAGTATGCTAATTATAATTTTAAAACTGTTCTTATGATATTAATAAATTACTATCAAAAAAAAAATTTTAAGTCGAGAAAGCTTTTATTTTTTTACTAATTACTTAAATCCTCGTGCCTATCATCCAGAAGGGTTGGCAGAGACAACGGCACGATCCTGACACCTCTCTCGTCTCCTTTACATCCATATACATAAGCATACATGCTCATCGATTAAGAGTACTCTTAATCAGGCCCATCTTCAGTATATCGCCAATTTGGTCGATAAACTTTCGTCTAGCGCGTCCCTTCCCAACTCTGCACTTCACTTCTGCAACATTCTCTTTCATTATTTTGACATAACAAACCACCGAAGCATTCCTTTATTAATTCTGGCCACAACATCATGTTGCAAACCACGCTAATCAATTATACAAATGTTTCTTGTATAATATTTTTCTTTAAAGTTTACATTCTTTAGGTATGTTATTATATATTTTTACGCAGATATTTAGAAAGTTTATGTTATATTTAACGAGCCTAGGAATGACAACTAGGACAAGTTTGTCTGAATCAAGTCGATTTCGGGGATATTTATATTAAAAACAAATGTATAGTAATAATAATTTTACGCAGGTCACTTCACTATGAAGCTAAGACTGACAAGTTGCGTGGTTGCGTGCGTGCGTGTGCGTGTGTGTGTGTGTGTGTGTGTGTGTGTGTGTGTGTGTGTTGCATTATTTTAGTGTTAAAATTCTGGTCGATGTGTACAGGTACGTGTCATGTCAGCGGCTATGGCTGGTGAGGCCCTACTAGCTCGTTTGTCGTGGGCGGCGTCAGTTCGCGCATCAGAACACGCGCAACGTCGCGCTGCCGCAGCTGCCACTAAACGACATATACGACTCGCGCTACTTTTTTCTGTACCAGTAAGTTATTTGTATATTCCAAAATGTCAAATTTTTTTGAAAATAAAATATTAAAAATGACGAGATGTAAGTATCTACGGGCCACAGCATCACTTTTCTATTTTAATTATATTGTTACAGTGGTTCATATCGAATTATTTGTACCGATTAAGTTTACTACACACTTCGTCGAGTTCGGCAATTGTCTACACGTCAACGACAAGTGCGTTTGCACTTTCATTCGGTGCAATATTCGCGCAAGTGCCGACCGACCGGTTCACAATCTCTAAATGCGTTGCAGTATTACTCACCGCAGCTGGACTCGTAAGTTTTTAGTCATTTCTTTTTTATAAATATAAGTACTATTTACCACATAGTGGCGGTGTAAGAATATCCACTACTCTAATGTATAATATATCCGTGGGTAATGTAATAGGTGACAGAGGGATACTGAAGCAATCTTCTAGTTCCGTTTCCCTCTGTCACCTCCTCAGCAACAGCTTCTTCCCCATAACAGCTGAATAAAAATCAAAAACTGCTATTGCCAACCCGCTTGCCAAGTGTAGCAATTAAGGAATACATTCCTCCTGTGGGGCTAGATGGCCAAATGCCAGCATTGGACGTGATGGTAATAGTAAGCACAATTTTTACACATGTGAAATGACTTGTTTTGCAATAAACTGTTACTTTGCTAAAAATATTTCCTTATCTCATGAAGTCTTTGTGCTGCGATCGTCAGTCCGCCTCCTTGCACCTTGACGATCATAGCAAATGTGGTAGCGTGCCTAGCAGTAGATGGCTCAACAGTTTGACGGCTCTGTGCCGCAGTGGCTTAGCAAGGAGTTGCTGCGCTGGCGGCCGCAGATCCGAATCCCGCACGGAACAAGTATTTGCATAGCCTACTATAATAATTGTTCCGGGTCTGGATGTTTGTCCTTGTGCAATTTGTGTTTGTAAACTGTTCAATATACAGGAAAAAATCTTAGTGTGGGGGTAACCTTTAAAAAAAGAAAAACAGACTTGTAGTGTGGGAAAAGTGTCAAATGACGGAAGCGTGTTGCTTCTTCTAAGACTCTAATTGGACTAGATTTAGATCTATTATTTATCTATCGGTCGATAGATTTAGATTAATTAGACTAATTTTAAGTTTTTAATCTCGAAGTTTGCGGACTGAGGTGTTTTACGTGTGACCCGTGACGTTTAATTTAACATTTTCCACTTTTACATATCCATAGCTACATCATCCAAACAGTGAGGTCAACTATAAGGTCGGGGAAAAGCTTCCTCGTATTTTATATACAAATTCTAGACATATTTTTCAAAATTTAATTACATGCGCTATATATATATATATATATGCCATTTTGTTCGACAACTTGTTGCCATCTTGTAGGTAGTGACATAATCTCGTTGCTGTAGAAATCTTGAGAATTTTTATCAAAAAATGCAATAAGTAATTTTGACAGTCCTCTCTTGATTTTAACCTAACACTACCCAAAGAATTCTGAAGAAACCGAAACAGTTGAAAATCTGAGGGTACAAGGTCATGACTATATGGTGAGTACTTCCTAACCAAGCTCTCTCAATTTTCGCTGAATGTCCAAAGATGTGTGTGGTCTGGCGTTATCATGATGAAAGACCACTCCTTTTCTATTCATCAATTCCGGCCGTTGTTTCTCAATTTCTTGCTTGAGTCTCATTAGTTGTTGGCAGTAGAGATCCGAATCGATTTTGTCCGGCGGTAAAAGCTTATAATAAACTATTACAGTCTGTGGAGCTTGACTACCTTTTGACCATGATCTTTTTCGCACGTTTTCAACGTAGATGATCCACTTTTCATCACCAGTGATCAATTTTTTCAAAAATGGTTCGGTTTCATTACGTTTCAATAGATAATCGCCATAGAGTACTCCATTCATTAAGTTTATTTCAGTGAGCTCGTGTGGTACCCAAATATCGAGCTTTTTTGTATAGCCAGATTTTTTCAAATGGTTCAAACTATTTTGTGGTCAATCCTCAATTCCTCTGCTATGTCGTAATTACTAAGAGAGACCGCAGATTTACAATTATAAGTTGGCCGACTAAATCGCAGAGTATACCAATAGGTATAGTGACATATGCTAGCCCACACATCTTGTCCAACTAAATCGTCCAACTAATTAATTGGACACCAATCGTATCATAATCAAGATTCCCTTCCGATTACGCACAATTAAAAAGTTGTCCAACTATCGGCCAAGTTCTCGTTAGCACGGTTACCCTATGCAGGCTCGCGGACTATCCAACTTTGTTGGTTAGTCGCACGGCAGCATGCAAGACGAACCGACGCGCGCGCGTAATTTCCCCACGGTCGGACTTGGGCCTTCGCCGACGGGTGCGACATCTGCCACCCTATCACTTGTTGCAAACGAAAAAGTAGAAGAGCTCATAGATGAAATGCAAAAAAGGCCAGCGTTGTACAAAAAAGTTCTTTTCAAAAAGGATGCACCCAAAATGTTCTGTTTTGTTTTCGTCTTCTTTTTATTATTAATGCAATTAGAGCTTTTTTTCCGCATTATCACGCACACGCACCGCGCTAGCAACACTGTCACGGACTAAATCGATTAAGTCTGCGGCTGGTAACCAATAAAAGAAGTAGACCGTTGAGTCGTTCGATAGTTGACCAACTTACAATTGTATGTCTGCGGGAACTCTTACATGCCGATCTTGCTCCAATTTTTCAAAAATGGCATCGACCTAATCCGTATGAGGGCGACCAGAGCAAGGCGATCTTTGACTTCGAAATTCCCCGACTGAAAACGCTTGAACCAACTTATTGACACTACAGTAGGTCCATAAACGTCACAAATTTTTTCTCGGCTTGAGTCGCATTTTTCCCTTTTTTGTTATAAAACTTCAAAATGTATCGAATTTCTTCGTTAGATTCACTCATTTTGGCGGGCAAAAAAAACTATTGAAAAATGGCGAGGCTGTTTTTTTTTTTACTTTTTATTTATCTTTTTCTTAATGTATTGATATTTTTACGAGCTTGAGGTTCGAGACAACTAAAACTGCCAAGTGAATTACCAAAATTGACACTTTAATTACAGAACACTAATTACAATTTAAAACCACACTATATAATAAAACACAATTGTACTACTGATCACTTTAGTTCGCAGTTATTTCGCTTCGAAGTACTCTCTTGTATCGCCAATTCAATACTGACTCGGTCGTAGTCTATACCGGCCTTATATAGGGCCTCAGATAGTTTCCAGAACCTTCTGCTGTAGCGACATCTAGAATGTTCGAGTACATATCGGTCCCGAAATTTCTAGAAGGATCTTGACTCTCCTAGTTCTGCTACTCGACACTAGAGGGCGCTAGTGGTGACTAGTGTAATGGTGGTCCCGAGCATTATTGGCCCCATAATAACGCGCCAGTCGATCCACATGGACGATCTTAGGAGAACCTCTGGCACCTTTCTGTACCCGGTAGGTTACGTCATTGTTCCTTGTCACAATCCGGTACGATCTGTCCCATTTAGCTTGAAGCTTAGGAGATTTCTCTTTGTTGCGAACTGGATTGTGTAACCACACTAGTGAACCTTTGTCAAACCCTTTGTTGTTCATTTTGCGGTCATACCGTGTTTTCATCTTCTCAGACGTTTGCTGGCCCGTCTGTTTGACGTGCTCATAAATGTCATTCATTTTGTTCCGCAAGTCATTTTCATAATCGGTTATACTGCGTGGAGCATCAGGTGGTACTCCGGTGATCAGGTCTGCAGGCAGCCGTAATTCTCTCCCAAAGTTTGCGAAAGCTGGTATCACTGATGTACTTTCGTGAACAGCGCTTCGATATGTACCTGTCCCAGTCTCGTTGCCGTCTGATTAAATCGTTCTACCATTCCATCAGATTGTGGGTGGTAAGAAGTTCATCATCATCATCATTACAGCCCTTCACAAGTCCACTGCTGAACATAGACCTCCCCCAAAGAATGCCACAAAGCACGGTCCTGAGCCACCTGCATCCATCGACTTCCTGCATATCTTACCAGGTCGTCACTCCATCTAGTGGGGGGACGCCCTACACTTCGCCTGCCGGTACGAGGCTGCCACTCGAGAACCTTTCTTCCCCATCGGTTGTCGGTTCTTCGAGCTATATGACCGACCCATTGCCACTTCAGCTTACTAATCCGTTGGGCTATGTCGGGCACTCTGGTTCTACTGCGGATATCCTCATTTCTGAGTTTATCACGCAGAGAAACGCCGTGCATAGCCCCCTCCATAGCTCGCTGAGCGACCTTGAACTTCCTCATCCGGCCAGCAGTGAAGGACCACGTCTCAGTTCCATATGTCATCACTGGCAACACGCACTGGGTGTACAGTCTCGTTTTCAAGTTTTGAGGTATACCTGACGAGAAGATGTGCCGTAATTTCCCGAATGCTGCCCAACCGAGTTGCATCCGTCGATTGACCTCTCGGTCGAAGTTGGACTTACCTAGTCGGACTATTTGTCCCAGGTAAAAATACTCGTCAACAACTTCGAGCTTAGTGTTCCCAACAACTACCGGCATAGGTGTGACATGGACATTAAACATGATCTTTGTTTTGTCCATGTTCATCTTAAGACCTATCCGTTGGGAAACACTATTGAGGTCATTGAGCATAGTGCTTACGTCCTCCAGCGATTCTGCCATAAGGATTATATCGTAGGCAAATTGAAGGTGAGTGATGTACTCGCCATTGATGTTGATACCGTATCCATTCCAGTCCAGAAGCTTGAAAACATCTTCCAATGCAGCGGTAAAGAGTTTCGGGGATATGACGTCACCCTGTCTTACACCTCTCTGCAATTGAATAGGTTTCGTACTCTGGTTCTGTACTCGGATAGCCATCGTAGCCCTACTGTACAAGCACTTCAACACTTCGACATACCGATAGTCAACTTGGCATCGCTGAAGGGACTGCAGCACCGCCCAAATTTCGACGGAATCAAAGGCTTTCTCATAGTCCACATACGCCAGACATAGTGGCAAATTGTACTCCTCGGACTTCTGTACAATTTGCCGAAGGGTATGTTTGTGGTCTATGGTGCTAAAGCCTTTTCTGAAACCGGCTTTTCGGCTTTGTTCGGGAGCCTGGAAGTCGTCAAGTCCGCGCGCGAGACGATTCGTAATGACTCTCGAAAACAGCACGTAGACGCGGCTCAGAAGGGAAATAGGTCTGTAATTCTTAAAGAGAGCGTTGTCGCCTTTCTTGAAAAACTAGACCACCGCACTTCTGCTCCACGCCTCCGGTTTAATGCCACCATGGAGGACGGAATTAAAGAGCTTCTGAAGGACT